AGCACTATCTAGGCTGCAGAGTAGGCCACTTATTCTAGGCTGCCATGGTTAGCCACTTATCTAGGTTGCCAGAGTTAGCCACTTATTCTAGGTTTCCAGAGTTAGCCACATAATATTCTAGGTTGCCAGTGTTAGCCACTTATTCTACAGGCTGCCAGGGCTAGCCACTTATTCTAGTTTGCAAGAGTTAGCCACTTATTCTAGGTTGCCAGAGTTAGCCACTTATTCTAGGTTGCCAGTGTTAGCCACTTATTCTACAGGCTGCCAGGGCTAGCCACTTATTCTAGTTTGCGAGAGTTGGCCACTTATTCTAGGTTGCCAGAGTTAGCCACTTATTCTAGGTTGCCAAAGCTAGCCACTTATTCTAGGTTGTCAGAGTTAGCCACTTATTCTAGGTTGTCAGGGCTAGCCACTTATCCCAGGTTGCCAGAGCTAGCCACTTATTCTAGGTTGCCAGAGTTAGCCACTTATTCTATGCTGCCAGGGCTAGCCACTTATTCTATGCTGCCAGAGTTAGCCACTTATTCTATGCTGACAGAGTTAGCCACTTGTTCTAGGTTACCAGAGTTAGCCACTTGTTCTAGGTTGCCAGAGTTAGCCACTTATTCTAGGTTGCCAGAGTTAGCCACTTATTCTATGCTGCCAGGGCTAGCCACTTATTCTAGGTTGCCAGAGTTAGCCACTCATTCTAGGTTGCCAGAGTTAGCCACTTATTCTATGCTGCCAGGGCTAGCCACTTATTCTAGGTTGCCAGAGTTAGCCACTTATTCTAGGTTGCCAGAGTTAGCCACTTATTCTATGCTGCCAGGGATAGCCACTTGTTCTAGGTTGCCAGAGTTAGCCACTTATTCTAGGTTGCCAGAGTTAGCCACTTATTCTATGCTGCCAGGGCTAGCCACTTATTCTAGGTTGCCAGAGTTAGCCACTCATTCTAGGTTGCCAGAGTTAGCCACTTATTCTATGCTGCCAGGGATAGCCACTTGTTCTAGGTTGCCAGAGTTAGCCACTCATTCTAGGTTGCCAGAGTTAGCCACTTATTCTATGCTGCCAGGGATAGCCACTTGTTCTAGGTTGCCAGAGTTAGCCACTTATTCTAGGTTGCCAGAGTTAGCCACTTATTCTATGCTGCCAGGGCTAGCCACTTATTCTAGGTTGCCAGAGTTAGCCACTCATTCTAGGTTGCCAGAGTTAGCCACTTGTTCTAGGTTGCCAGAGTTAGCCACTTATTCTATGCTGCCAGAGTTAGCCACTTATTCTAGGTTGCCAGAGTTAGCCACTTATTCTATGCTGCCAGAGTTAGCCACTTATTCTATGCTGCCAGAGTTAGCCACTTATTCTATGCTGACAGAGTTAGCCACTTGTTCTAGGTTGCCAGAGTTAGCCACTTATTCTATGCTGCCAGAGTTAGCCACTTATTCTATGCTGCCAGAGTTAGCCACTTATTCTATGCTGACAGAGTTAGCCACTTGTTCTAGGTTGCCAGAGTTAGCCACTTATTCTATGCTGTCAGGGCTAGCCACTTATCCCAGGTTGCCAGAGTTAGCCACTTATTCTAGGTTGCCAGAGCTAGCCACTTATTCTATGCTGACAGAGTTAGCCACTTATTCTAGGCTTTTAGTATCAAAATAAAATGACTCGTAACTTATAGATCAATAGATTCCAATCCTGTGTTTGGGATTTTGTTTTTCACACATCACCTTTATGTTTAAAGTAGATGCGAGAGCGCTCAATCTAGTGGATGTATTCAGCATCACAAAATTTACCTGGGTATGCAACAGATACAAGTTGGATATCAATATATTTTGAATATGATTACCAGCAAATTGAAAAAGAAAGTTTACATACAGACACAGCATACAGGCTCCTCAGTGCAGGAAAACACACTAACCACTGAAACATATACTTACTTGCCCCAAAATATCTCGAAATGACCTGTAATAAGTACTCCTTGCAGCAATATTAATTTTAGTATATTAATTTTTTTTGCTATTCATTTTAATTATAATTGTTCATTTATTTTTATTATTAATAATTATTTTTACAATAAATTTGCTGCACCAATGGCTTTCAAAAAAAAACACAATTCTTCCAGAAATATAGTTGTAACGTCAACAAATAATTAAAATAATACATACAAAAAATATATATAAGAAACAAATTAAGCCAACCAGGATCTTATTTTATTCACATTGTCTTTACAGTGGGGAATCTTAAATGACACAAACAACATATAGTATTTTAACTATACATCTGAAAGTCCTTGTATTCATGATTCAATATGAACCATCTACATATAAACCAGAAGCTGATAAAAACAAAAGTTAGTCACTCAGGGGTACATAATGATGCCAGCACATTCTGCATGGTTTGTATGGGGGGGGGGGGGGGGCAAGGGGGGTTTGGTAGCTGGTACAGTTTTACAGGAAATAAAAAGGGCTTTTTACAATTTACAATGAAAATAAGATGTTTTTACAGTTTACAGTGAAAATTGAATTTTGCAGTGAATTGTGTCATCTAGTCGTTTTACGGTTTTGAAAATGTAATTTCCCTGGATTATTCTTTACGACTTTTTTATTTGGATGTAAATTCTTGTACGTACCAAAAAAAATTACACATTTTTACAGTGTACGAAAAAAACATTTGATTGATTAAGTTGTACGTCTAGCCTGTGATTACAGAATTATGGAATTTATTTTTCAATTTACGTTGTACGAACAAAAAAATATTGCAATTTCGTTGAATGAAAATAACCCTTGCCCCCCCCCCTCTTGTATGTATTTATGCTGAATGATTCATATATTCTGCAAGCAATAAAAACATCTATTATAACACTTTGAAGATACCAGGAGGTTCAGTCTGTATTTGGTAATCATATTAATAATCTGTTATTGTTTTTGTCAATGTGGCATTCGTCATTACTGAAGCCATCATGTTTTTGATTTCCGCGCTTACTTCATATGTTAATGCATCACCACATTGGACAGTATTGTGTCTGTTGAAATGAAGTGTGGGATCAATTTGTTCTTGCGCTCCCAGTGGCCAGTGATGTGAGAATGGTATTTATCATGTTCATTGACATGCTTCATATGATGGCATTTTCACTCAACTAATAACATTTACAGTCAATAGCCGACCATATTGTTTTCATTGATGACTATTGATGCCATTTATTTATATTCTCATTTACCTAGGCTGAAGTTTAATGACCTCACAGAGCTTCTGTACATGTTACATCATGATTAATTAATAAATTGGAAGAATTCATAATTAAAACTATTATTTCTTACAGTCAGTTTGCTTATCCTACTGTAAAAGATCGTCTGCCTGTAATCTTAACGAAAGTTATTGATACAGTTTACCAGTATAAAAATACAGCTGCAGAACAACATGGTGAGGTGTGTATATTTGCTATATTGTATCTCCATCCATAGTATTTTACTGTCCAATTAAAGCGCTGTAGTAGTCGCGCAGCGCGTGTTCGAATTTCATGTAAATAAACAAAGTATTTTACACACGTTATATATGCCACTATGAGTCCCATATCGAACAGGAAGCGGCACGACGACTACAGTCCTTTAAGCATAATGTAGACTTGTGCTTCATGGTAAGGATTAGGTAAAATTGTTGTTCATCACCAAAGTTTGCCAGGATGAAAACCTGTAATTGTTTTGTTGAGTAACTTTTGTAATACTGAGTGGCATGTAAGTATTATGTCCAAATATGGAAGTTTTCAATTGTAAATAATTTTTATATTCCTGTATTATAGGCTGGGAAAGAAGACTGTAAATTTATTGTCAGTAAATTATCTGAACTGAAAAATGCGATCCAGACAGACAAACCACTAACCGTACTTGCAGATGGTAGAGGCGATGTCAGTATTTGGAACAAAGCAATTCAAAAGGAAATTGATGATCATGGAAACAAGCATCCAAGTTGGTTCAAATCACCATGGTTACTGACAGAATGTTACATGTACAGAAAAATTAATGAATCAATTAGAATGAGGTGTGTAATCATTGTAAATTATACATAAAATGGCAGCTTATGTCAATGCAGTCTGTGTGTGTGTGTCTGTAGCTAGGTTTGGTTCTAATAATGTTTAAAGATCAAACCAGTCTGCATAACCTTGTATACCTTAATTCAGATTCAGTATTGAACAAGTGCAATCTCTGATAGATTTTAGTTCAAATTTTTGCATATTGAGTAACCTGATTTGCATACTATGTAATGATTATTATTCATATTCTGTTTGTTTGTTGAACATATGGTTGAAATGATGTTAAAAAAAAGTATAAAAATATGCATATCTTAATATAAGTCATAACTTTTTCCATCTGCTGATCTAAATACATTTTTTTTGTTTTAGTTCAAAACTTCAAGAATTTGATCCATTTGGCGAACAGAAAAGGAGTGCTTTGAAAAATTCTCATGATGCTTGCATAGTACTGGCTAATTATATTCATGATATCACTAAGGATAACAAGGATGTGACCTATGAGCAGTTTTCAAAGATCTTACAGGTATGGATCTATAGTCAACACTGAGGGCGCTCTATATGTTGAATATCCATATGCAATTTAAATGTTTAAATTAAAAAATTGTTATCTATTCTGCAACTACTGAATCATTTGCTAAACACAATACCATTACATGATCTTGTCTAAATTATTAGTTCAAGTACAGATTGTGACCACGCTTGGAATAGTTTGGTCTGGTTACATTATAACAAGATGTAATTTCGAGCAGATGAAATATCATTATGTGCATGTTCAGTAAGATATATGCCATCATCTAATGATGATATTTATACATGTAACTACCAAGATGCGATATAAAGCTGAAAATAACATCAGACATTGTTCTTTTAACATTTGGTTTTGCTTGTTGATATCCAAAATACAGGAATTGAAAGAATTTTAATGTACAAGAAAAATCAATTTTGATGATGTTCGCTGAAGCCATCCCATTGGTGAAAAAACATAAATAAATTTTAGCATATTTTTCAAATTAAAAAAAATACATACCTAAACAAATGAACGTGGACTGCCATTGTATTAGTAGGAATGTATTTCATTCAATTGTAGTAGTTGTCTGTATGTGCTCAAACACCCCCCCCCCCTTTTATCATTTATCATTGTCAGAATCAATGAAAACACACTTAGTCTAATAATTTTTGTTTTCTCTTTCCCAGATTGCATTATGGGGAAATAAATGTGACTTGTCAATTTCAGCTGGGGTTGAGAATTCGCAGAATGTGAGCCCCTTGCTTTACCTCAATGAGATGGCAAGTAATATATTGGTTGACTCCACTCAACAAGTATGGCAGGCTCTATTGGAAGCAAGAAAGAATGGGAAACAAACAAGAGTTGATATAATTTTAGATAACATGGGATTTGAATTGTTCAGTGACCTCTGTTTTGCTGAGTTTCTACTTCGTACTTCTCTGGCGCATTCCATCCACTTACACTACAAGGTAATGCCATGGTTTGTATCCGATGTCACGCGTGAGGACTTCTTATGGACCCTGCAGACATTGAAGGATAGTCCAAATGAAGTTTTGAGTAAGCTCAGCGAGACATGGCAGAATCGCTTACAGGATGAATCATGGGTGATTAAAGGAGATGATTTCTGGACAACTGCGTGTGATTTCCGGCAGATGAAGTCAAAGGCTCCCCATCTGTATGATGATCTAACCAGTTCATCAATGTGTTTTTTTAAGGGTGATCTCAATTATCGAAAATTGGTGGGTGATCTCAACTGGAACCATACAACGCCATATGAACTGACATTGGGAGGGTTCCACCCGTCACCCCATTGTGCCCTTAGAACTATCAAATGTGATCTTGTGGTTGGTCTTCAAGAAGGCAGAGCTGAAGAAATCACTAAGCTGAATGCTGATTGGATGCTTGGTGGTGATTATGGCGTCATCCATTTCTGTGATCTCATTGAGAAATAAAACATCAGAACCTTATCATTCATTCATTGCCTTAGATACAAGAAAATGGTCTAAATCAAAGTATCATTTTCTGTGAAATTGTTAATAAAGGGTACTTCTTCAACATTGATTAAACTTGTCAAAGTTGGTCATTATTTCATATCATTTGTATGTTGACACACAAAATTACGTTTTAATAATTATTACTTAGATAGAAATATGTCATGAGTTGAATAAAAAAAAATACTATAGGATATAAATTGGTTTGTTTTAAGTGTTGTTCAGTCATGTCTTATTCCAGAGACCTTAGTTGTGGTGGGTCCGAACTCAGTTTGATTGCTCAAGTACAAAGACTTTTATATACACAGACAGAAAAGAACATTCCAAGACTGACTTCCAATCTTCCTAAGTTATTTGATAACAAGATAGGTAGCATTGAATGAAGCTCTTGACCTTGACTGAGGGTGCCTTGACCATTGTTAAGATACTATGGCTGGATTCTCGAGATCAAGCTAAAACTAGCCAACACAGGGATGCTCCTGAGGGAAGGCAGACACAACCAATAGGCCGAATTCCACTGGTATTGAAGGGGTTAGTTCCAGTAAGAGTGGTACTTATAATGTGACTTGCAGGTGTTGTGCATCATCTAAACCATTTCTTCCTAACCACACATGAATATCATCGACTCGATCAAGATTATATCTCGCACTATAAACCCGGTTGCAGAATAATTTCATGCATAACTGATAACATAATTCAGCTTGAATGTTGCCCGCAATAGCAAATCCAGGCACACACCCACTGATGCTCATCCGGTAGTCAAATTTGTTAGAAAGTATCTCACCATATAAGACCACATTGTTTATTCTTAATTTCAGTCCAAGACAATATGCGACCATTCATGAACATTGCTAATAAGTTGAGAATAAATAAAATCAAACATAGCATAACACACCCTTTGCCCCTTAATAATACCGCCCGTTTACGTCTTTTCAGAAAGTGTCTCTCTCAAATTAAATATTGCAAAATATTATATATACTCGCCTTTAGTTCGCCTATAAATTGTGTGCACAGTGTAAGGACCAATGGGTGACCAATCATGGCCATGTCTTATTTGTCACAATAATTAATAAAAATGACTGAGAACAGACCAGTGGTGGCTTAGAGACGTGCAACATGAAAACAATGTGATTCACATTAATTAAGTTTATAATATTTATAGATAATACAATAAAGCACCACTATTTAAATGTGATTTATTGAAATACTAGAAATTGGTTAATAATAATAAGATAATCAATACTATGTGAATGTTTTTCAGTATTAAACCCCCAAAATGGGCAAATATTATGCAAATTAAGAAATTATTATGCATAGACATAAACCACCAACTAATCAGGTATGTGTATTGTTTCAAGGCACAATTCTTTAAAAATCGATGGAAAGCTAAAAAAACATTATGCAAATTAGGTAAGTAATATGTACATGTATTAACCCAAAACGTAAATCGTGTTGTCAAAATTAATGTTTTAGATTATGTGTAAAACCTGTCATTGATAATCTCACCCTGGATACACCCTCTCGCAAACTGTAGTCACAGATTCCTGCACGACGGGTACAGTAGTCTTCCCCCCTCTGTTATGGTTTACAATCATAATGGTACAGTATCAGTGCCAGTCTCAGTGCATAGTTCTTTGTGTGACTCACAGATTCCGTTCCAATCAGAAATGGTATAGTTTCCTGTACATGGCGTGTCTGTCTATACGATCCGTATTCTTCACAGCTGGTTTCCAGGCCACTTAGACCCATGCCACAACCACCAATAGGTCCAAGACCAGAAATGTCTCTTCCTCCTCCTCCTCTGGAAGCAAAAACCATCTGGACTAGTGAAAAACAATCAGCCTGTCGACTGAGATAGATAGAAAATGAACAATATGTATAGTATCAAAAGAACAGGTTTTCAACAAGAAGTCAAAATATCACTTTTTACCAAAAATTAAAAAAATATTCACTAAAATTAGAGAATTAAAGATATCATCATGAAATGAACAAATCTGAGAGAGGACCACATGTAGTACCTATATATGTAATATCAAAGCAATTGGACTTGCGGTTTTTAACAAGAAGTTGAAAATATCACTTTTTACCAAAAATTACAAAAATATTCACCCAAATTAGAGAATAGAAGATATCATTACAAAATGAACAAATCTGAGAGAAGTCCACATGTAGTACCTATATATGTAATATCAAAGCAATTGGACTAGCGGTTTTTAACAAGAAGTTGAAAATATCACTTTTTACCAAAAATGACAAAAACATTCACCAAAATTAGAGAATTAAAGATATCATTACAAAATGAACAAATCTGAGAGAGGTCCACATGTAGTACCTATATATGTAATATCAAAGCAATTGGACTTGCGGTTTTTAACAAGAAGTCAAAAATATCACTTTTTACCAAAAATGACAAAAATATTCACCAAAATTAGAGAATTGAAAATATCATCATGAAATGAACAAATTTTGTAGTTTTCAAGAAGAATTTGAAAAAGTAAAACATTGACACGGGCGACGGAAAATCACTTATATGATAAGCTCCGCTCGACAAAGTCGACAGCGGAGCTAAAAAAAGGACCGCAGACAGATTCATGCTATCACTGACAATGAGCGCATACAAAATGCCTCTTATTACTTCCCCTCTACTGAAAACAAACTTGCTGTATGGACCACTTCCAGGGGATTGAACATGAACAAGCCACATCATATATATTCCCGCTATGAGAAAAAATGTTGGCTGGAATAAGTATAGATCATTATAGTGCTATCACGATTGAATGTTCTACTCGAGGCATACAAACTCAAATATTCATTTGCAATGCGGAGATCTAGAGTGAGCACAACACTATCAAGAACTTCATGTCGGCTTACGAAGATGAAGATAACTGTATAAGATTCTGTATGAAGCTAAGGTACATGACCTAAGAACTATTGACAACTATATTACTTTCCCTGGCCATAGATCATGTGCTAGAAGCAGTACTCATGAGAGCTAGAGTTTCGTCCAAACTTGTAAAAAATAAAGGACAAAAGGAGCGAAATCATCTCATCTCAACATCAAGCGTTTCTACAGCAGATATCATGAACTGGTGACAAATACAACAAATCACCGAAGCAAATGATTTCTGATGTATACTTTGTTGAAGGTGCCTTCAACCCATGCTCCCTAAAGGTGTGTGTATATGCTACATGAATACAACCAGACCATGTTGACAAGTAATTTGTTTAGTTTTTGCGAATGAAAATATATAGCAGCATGAAATGTATTTTGTTCAAACCTAGAGCTGTGGTAATATGTTAATATATTTATCAGAAGGATGAGTCAAAGCAACACGCATTTGTACTAAATATGCAACTGTTAAAGCGGGGAGGGGGTCGTCACAACACACGCTAAAAACGCAAATTCTCAAAAACACTTTTTGTAAACAATGACACGCTATGGTCATCTGACGCATGCGCAGGTGACGACTCCCCCGCTTTAACTAAAGTAGGTCACACAAATATATATTTGAAAGGCATAAGATTTGCATTGCCTCATGAGTGACCTTTTTGAGAATCAAGCATATTTATATACAGTAAACATTATTTCATTTCCGTGTACATGTATATTACAATTCTCAAGGGCATGCAAATTCGGGGGGAGCTCTTATAATGAGATGATAGCCAATGCAATATGTGATGGAGAAATGAATGATTAACCCACCTTATAATTTATGCTAATTATTGTGGTTTTGTCAAAGAACTGTGCTCAGCTGATTTCAATATATTCATAAATATGCAATTATCACCGCCATTTTGAATCAATAAAATACAAAAATCACGCAAAATGTGAACATGAAGTAACAAAAATGTCTTTCAGTATCTCAAATATATTATTCTCACTTTCAGAGACCAAAATCCATAAGACATTCTATACAGAACCCAAATCCAGGTTGTAGAAACCACGTTGTAGATTTATATTAGCATTTATTAGACGAACTTAAGAAAGATAGACATAACAGTACTGAAAATATAAAATGCCATGACAGTATACGCCTACAGTATCTAAACAAATAAATACATCGCCAGTAATATAAAAATAAGTGATAATAAATACAAAGTTTAAGTACGAAATAGTATAAACATTTTTACAGAAAATTCTAGAAGCATCAAACAAGTTATAAAGTATGTAAATTGTAAGTATACCATAATTGTTTCAATAGTGTTCAGTGTATTATGGCAAGCAAAGCACTTCATAAAAAAATATTTGAATGTGTATAAAAACAAAGAACGGTAACTCACAGAATGACCGTTAGTATCGCTGTTAAAAAAAAACGTGTTAATGAAATACAGTGCCAGTACTAATAATAAACTAATAAATCAGGCTGAAGTGTGATCTATTTCATAATTACATGTGTGTCATTTATTGTGAATAAACAATATATCGTCATTTATCTTACACTTTTCGGCAACTCCTAACTGAACCACGTGACCAATATTTTGTGAGATAGCTACATGTTATTATTAGTGAATTCGAGTCAATGCACGAAGTAACAAAATATCTGTCTGTGAAAATATGTTTCTTTTGGATTAGCTCGAACTTAGCTAAAATAACATGCTAAAAAAAGGTCAGGGTGAGTATAATACATCAGTAAAGTACATCACATTAGCCAATAATATCTGAAACAGTTTTACAAATACTGAAGATTTTATCAAATAAACAAATATAAAAGAACAAATACATCTCCACACAGTGGATGTGGACAACCTGCAGCTGCTAAATCAGTACATTTCATATATTTGTCAAAGGAAAGAATTGACTGGATGAAAAGGACAAGTTTTTGAATCCATACAAAAATGTCCATTTTTACAAAGCTAAGACATAGTTAAATTTAAAGGCTTGTGATTTTGGAACATTGTACTCCCTACACGCCTCCAGTAACAACGTCACCTCGCCATCCCGTGATCGAAACTCGAAATTATTTTCTCTGTGTCTTGCAGGACTTTTCGGCATGTGATGGGAATTTCTGCTCTTTGTTACTGCTTCTCTTCCATCGATAATCATTTCTTTTTTGTAGCCCTTCAATTCATAAATCTTCACTCCCTGGTATTGCGGGTCGATAAAACATCTGTTAGAAACAAATCAAACTATAGCTATTAACACATTAATTTGTCAGTGCGCCGCCTATCGACGATTCCCGGAATTCTTGTTCGTGCAAGTAAAAATTTGTGAGTTTTAAAATGGGTGAAAGTTCAAGTAAACCGTGACTCATAGATTCCTGATAAAGTAAGCCTTTAATTTATCCTGTAGTTTTGCATGTCCTTTCAAGACATTAGCAAGATGACCCACGCCAGTGGCACGACTAGACAATAATAATGTCATCAGGGTTATGTTAGCAACAAACATGCACACCATTTGGGGAATTTATTTAAATTAATTGCCCGCTGTGTCAAACTATCACTGACCTACTGACCTGTAGATACTATCTAAATATTCGAATAAATGCAAACTAGTGGAATTTATAAGTGATTCTTGATATTGCTGCAGTGGTGTATTAGTTGGTTCAAGATATTGAAATATTAACATGTCTGTCATTCCTTCAGTCTGCCCTAGGACGATTTGTCCGTACATATTCAGATCAAAGTACACACTTTTTATTGCCACTCAATAAACACAAATCATTAACAAGTTTTATATGATGTGAATACATACTCCTTTTCTCGTTGTGAGTAAGTAAATGTGTATTTTATAAAATATTTTACCTCCAAAAATTACTAAACTGAAAACTTATTTGTTTTAGTAAGTCGCGCCCTTTTGCGACGATGCTGTTTATTTATTTATTTATTTATTTATTTATTTGTTTATTTGTTTGTTTGTTTGTTTGTTTGTTTGTTTGTTTATTTATTTATTTATTTGACCTTTTATTTATTAAATCTTTTATTTATTAAACCTTATTTAATGAGGGTAGCTTGGTAAGCTTCAACATTAAATACAAAATCAATTATACAATTATATTACAATATAACTATACATGTATAAATACATGTTCTTTGACATCAGCGATGACACTCAAAGAGACAACTCTGATTGTGTAGTCATTCATAACTTAGAATATAATAAGTTTGTAAAAACAGTATTATATTGGCACATGTGGTTTTCATTTAGGTCCCGGATTCAGAATCCTACTGTAGATAATTAATCAAGCAGATTATATATCTCTGCTGTAGGTCGGGAGGAGGGGGAGGGTACTACTATATAGAAATGTGATGCCAAATGCTGCCACTTCTTTGGCCAAAAAATGGGTAAAATCATATACAGTCGTAAGGATGAGATGCATTCATGTGTGTGTTTTTTTATTACGAATGATCTTTTGTTGTTGGTGTTTTAGGATTACACATTTTTATTGTATAACTCCCTAATAAAACACGAATTAAACGATTCTAAAATACTACATCCATTGATAAATGAGAATTCGGTATAGCATGTGTTTTGCATGACAAATGGCTGATAAAAGTATTTAACTATATGAATGTAACAATAAAGTTCCCTTGAAACAACATTACATCGAATTCACTAGGTCATTTACAAGTGTTATGAGGTAATTATGGCACGAAGAAGACGATTCAGCAAAATATCCTTGTCCGACATTTTTAAATAGTCATCAACTTGAGTTGAAATGTTGTGACATAATAATAAGATTGAACGTAAAACTTAATAGCGTAATTGATGAAAAACATAAGAATAGACATTTTTTATTTTATTGTTGTATCAAAATACAAAACAAATCAAGCAAACGTACAAGTCATAAAAACGTGCCCGACTCCGTTTCCATCCTTCTCAGTGATCAGATTAGCATAGATAACACCGATGTAGTGCACTATGGTGCAACGATCCGTGGTACATCGTGGCCATTTCACAATGTAATCTCATCCTTACAATTAATTAAATACAAATTTAGTATATTAGTTTTATTTTTGACTCGTTGTTAACATAACTCTGTACTATGGTATTGGTGATATATGAATTGGGTGCCATAGGATGGTACTTGATGGCCAACCAACCTAATCAAATATGTATTTTGCATTGTACGAGTGCAAAATAAGTTATTAGGAAATTAGGATATTAGTACCAGCTGTTTTATACGCATGCGCATTGGCCGATCCTGTCAAATCTCGTCATCTGTTTTGGGGCGTGTCTAATGATGTGAAATTGCTTCAGCCATTGGGTAACGGAATTAATTGGTGTCGGTGTGAAAACCTCTGTAAATAGGCGGTAAAATGATTTGCGCGGTTTCTGCGCTGCCATTTTT